CGGGACCCGTTTACACCACCATTTAATGCAGTTCGAAACCAGCTTCCGACTGCAGCAGCCAGAGAACAAACTCCCTCAGAAGTCTGCCAGCCCTCAACACGTAGCCATACTCTCTGGTTTGTGCCATCACCGTCCGGGCCTGGTTCCAGGATTTCCTATTTCTGCACAGTCGAAGCACTTAATTGGGCACCAGTTTGAAACTACGTTAAATAGTCAGTGTAGACGGGGTTGGGCTGCGGGGGCATTTCCATTTGAACTGCCCTGACTCCATGGCGTGGAATGTTGGGATTTGGGTCTGCTTGGGTTGAAGGTTTTTCGGGCTATATGGCTATGTTGTAGAAGCATTCTCTCCTGACATTTCGCCTGGAGAAACGTCAGGAGAGAATGCTTCTAAAACATGGCCACATAGCCCAAAAAACCTACAACATCCCAATGATCCCAGCCATGAAAGCCTTCGACAGTACAACGGAGTCTGCTTTTTTGGCAGGGAGGGATGAAGGCCTTGTGAAACTACAACTCCCAGGATTCCACAGCATTGAGCCAGGGCACTTCAAGTGGTGTCAAACTGCATGGATTCTAGAGTGCAGATCAGGCATGGGCAAATTAGGCTGCGTCAATAAGAATATAATGCTTACGTCAGGCATGGGCTGCATCAATAGTATTGTGTCTAGGTCAGCAATGGGCTAACTTGGGCCTTCCATGTGTTATGGACTTCATCTCCCACCATTCCTAACAGCCTCAGGCCCTTTCCTTTTCCCCCTCAGCCGCTTAAGCGGGAAAGGGAAGTGGAAAAGGGAAAAGGAAGGGGCCTGAGGCTGTTAGGAATGGTGGGAGTTGGAGTCCAAAACACCTGGAGGGCCCAAGTTGGCCCATGCCTGGTGTAGATGCAGGAAACCCACTGGTCCCATTATCTCAGCCTCAGTGAAAGACAAAGATAAAAATTCCTTGAGGAGAGAGAGACCTCTTTGAGAGTCATCATCGGCCAAACACGACTGGAAGGAACACAAGACTATCCTGAAAGAAGGCATGGACTCTAGAAGCCAGGCTTTCTAGCCTTGGGAGTGTCACATACTCTCGGCCTCAGGAAAGCCCGCGGGTCACCCAAGAAGGCAGGCAACACCAAGAAAAAGAAGAGGTGGATTTGGCCCACTTCTCTCAGGACTAATAAAGAAACTGTTGGGGGTATTTGGGGAGGGGATTGATATGAGCCTTTCCTCCCTTTCTGAGCGCCAGCCCAAACCAAGTCGGGAAGAAGAGAGCGCTTTCCTTTCTTCCTTTTTGCATCCCTCCTCCTTTTGCCCAATTCTGCCCGAGAGGAGCAAAGGAGGGGACGGGCGGGTGGGCTGTTCCTTTCTCCCTCCTTGACAAAGCACACCGGGAGAAAGATTTGTCCAAAATAGTTTAATAATAAAGATTCTTTCCGACAGAGATTACACACAGACAAACCACCGTACAAGGCTGTCATCAACTGATTGACCTATTTAATATAGATCTCTCTCTCTTTCTCTCTCTCTCGGGCGCACACGCTTTACACATCCATGACCTGCCAACAGAGCCATCGAGGCCCTCTTTTTGCCATCCGAAGCTGACAGACTGCATTTGGATTATCAGCAAACAAGTGAAAAAAAGACCAAGCCTTAGAGAAAGAGAGAGAGAGGCGCCGGGGTAGAGGGGAGGAAAGGAAGGTTGGAGGGACCCACTTAGATGGGCAGCAGGAGCCCCAATCTGGTTCGGCCAAAGGATTTCGGTTTGAGGTGACTCAGGCATCGCTGGCCTATCTCGTGGTGATTTAAGGCTCAGAGGCCAAGACAAAATCAAACAACCCACACTTCGCAGGACAAAGAAGGCTGGATCTACACTGCCAAATAAGGCAGTTCGAAGTGCATGGTATGATCAGTGTAGTCAGTGGGTTGTTATGAGTTTCCCCGGCTGTATAGCCATGTTGCAGCAGCATTCTCTCCTGACGTTTCTCCTGCATCTATGGCAGGCACAATCTCTGAGGATGCCTGCCATAGATGAAGGCGAAACGTCAGGAGAAAATGCTGCTGGGACATGGCCGCCGTACAGCCCGAGAAACTCACAACCCAGTGATTCCGGCCATGAAAGCCTTCGACAATAAAGTGTAGGCAGAGGTTCCCAACCTTTGGTCCTCCAGCTCGTTTGGACTTCAACTCCCAGAAATCCCATCCAGCTTGCCTTTGTTAGGAATTGAAGTAACCTGAGGAGCAAAAGTTGGGAACCACTGGTTTAGAGCCCTGTAATGCAGTTTGAACTGCACTGAGCTGCTTTATATGAGTTTACACGTACCATTATCATGCAGTTCCAACTGCATTATTTGGTAATGTAGATCCATCCTCCGTCCAAAGCACTGAAATGGGATTTGGCTCATTCTTTAGTCTATTATTCTGTACAGTACTTGTGATGAAGGCCCAGATAACTTCAAGGGCGGGTTGTGAGTGCATCTACAGTGTCAAATTAATTCGGTTTAAGGCCACTTTAATTGCCATGGCAATTGGAACGCTGAGATTTGTAGTTTGGCGAGGCACCAGCACACCTTGACAGGAAAGGCTAAAGACATTGCAAAACTATAACTCTCATAATTCCATAGCATTGAGCCCTGGCAGCCCAAGTGGTGTCGAACTGCATTAATTTGACAACGTAGATGCACCTTAAATCTCTGGAGTGAGACTAAGAGGTGCATGCAGATCATAAAAATGCAGTTTGACACCATTTTAATTGCCATGGTGCAATGCTATGGGATTTGTAGTTTGGAGACGCAAAGAAGTAAAATCACAACTCACATGATCCCACATCCACAGCATTGAGCAGTGGCAGTTAAAGCGGTGTCAAACAGTATTCATTCTGCAGTGTAGAAGAATGATGCACCCAAAGTCTTCGGTTCATGTGGGGAAGGGGGGGGGGAGTCTCCAAGAGTCAAAGCCACTTAACCCTACAATGCCAACAACCATATTCTGCTGGAAGCAAATTCGACCAAGAGTCAAGGAATGGCCAGGACCAAGTAAATGCAGTTAGGATGAGTGTGCAAAGGATCAGAAGGATCCCTGGATCGTTGTCTGGCAGTTGTTAAACCACTTCAAACCCCAAAACTTTGGTTAAAGGGCTTATGGACAGGCTGGGAAAAGAATCAACACAAAATTAATTTTGAAGTCGACCTTCGAGGGCAACAAGTATCTCTTTACTATCCTGCCTTCTATCGTTATTTATGGTGGGAAATAAAAAATAAACTCAGGCTGGATCTACACTGCCAAATAATGCATGATGTGGTCAGTGTAGTCTCATATAATGAAGGTCAATGCAGTTCAAACTGCATTATTTGGCAGTGTAGATCCAGACTGAGCTACCATGACCAGTTTCAGCGAATATAACGTTCATAAACAGGTTTTCTTCAAACACACACACACACACAGGCACACACATGCAAATCTGGCCTTATTCTCTCCCTCTGAGAAACAGAACACTACCATCTGGAAAAGGCGAGTTTTTTCTGCAATTTCTTGACAAAGAGCCACTGCCTGATGCCTTGTTGTCACAGCAAATATCTCGAAACAGAAAATCCTTTCATGCCGCAAAGAGTTTCTCCTCGCCAACAGTCCAGTTCATGGAGCCAGGAAGAATACACCTTTCCTCTCATGTTTTTTTGGACTGAAGCAATTTATTAAAGCTCAATTTATTATAAATACAGGGATGATGCAACTAAACATCCACGCGACCTTTCAGAAGCTTCATCAGGCTGGGAATACATCAAGATTTCTGGTTCCCTGGCAAATCGACGTTTGAAACACTTGGCACAAAGTTTAAGTCATCGGTCCTTGGAAAGAAGCATCTTCCTTTTAAATAATAGTAATCATAATCATAACAAAAGCATCACATAAAAGCCATGCCCTCAACACAGGGTGAGGGTCCTTGGCGTGAGAGGGCCATTGAAATAAATAGCATGTCTTTCCCGCACACAGCATTGCAAGGGGAAAAGAAACAAGGTGCACGTCTTTCCCAATTGGGAAATCAACCTGCAGAGCTTCAGCCTCGAGAAGAGGAGCTCCTGGCCTCTTCAGAAGAGAGTCCACCTTCTCCTCCCCAACTCTGCGCGCTTTCACAGGGAATTCAGTTCAGAGAAAATCATAATAACCATTCAAAAATAATACACGCGTTTTCAGAGCGATTTTTGTTATGCACAGACCTCCTCTCAAGAAGCCCACACTTCAAGTTTGCTCGGCTCAGAAGCAATTAAATCAAGTTACCTATGATAATTGGGGGACACCTTTTGAAGCGCCCTTCTTGATCTGTCTGGGTTTACTCTCCACCACTTGGCAGGTTTTGACTCAAGTCCCCCTCCCAGTCCTTGGTTGCTTTGCCACAAAAGTTCCCCCCAAACTCGGAAGTTGTCAAGAAATCAGGGCAGAAGGAGTCTTTCTCCTCCCAAATGCAGTCCTCCTTTTGGACTCACACTCACCCAAAGACATACACCCCACCGTCGTGGCTGTGTGTATGTGTTTGTGTGCGTCTCAATGCCACCCAGGCCCCACCTACACTGGTCAGGTCATGCAGCTCCAAAACTGCAGGAGAACAAACTCTCACCAAGGAGCCCCCCAAAAGCCCCGAATGAATGTGCCCCAGTGCTTTCTGTTTTGTGCAGAGTCGCCAAACAGATTTCCCATGGAACCCCCTGCACAGCAAAAGCACTTTCTTTAATACCGAGTTGGAAACTGCATGAGATGATGAGTGTAGATAGGGCCTTAGTTGCGCTTCAGTCCCCCAAATCACCTCAGTGTAGTTGCACTTCAGTCCTTCAGATCCTCTCAGTGTAGAGGGGCCCTAGTGGCGTTTGAGTCCCCCAAAGCAGCTCAGTGGAGATGGGGCCCTAGTGCCATTTGAGTCCCCCAAATCACCTCAATGTAGCTGTACTTCAGTCCTTCAGATTCTCTCAGTGTAGATGGGGCCTACCGACTACGTTTGAGTTCCCCAAAGCAACTCAGTGGAGATGTGGCCCTAGTGGCGTTTGAGTCCCCCAAATCACCTCAATGTAGTTGCACTTCAGTCCTTTAGATCTTCTCAGTGTAGAGGGGACCCTAGTGAATGCGTTTGAGTTCCCCAAAGCTGCCCATTGTAGATGGGGCCCTTGTTGCGCTCCAGCCTCCCCCCAAATCACCTCAATGTAGACGGGGCCGTAATTGCACTTCAGTCCTTCACATTGTCTCAGTGTAGATGGGGTCCTAGTGAATGCGTTTGAGTCCCCCAAAGCGGCTCAGTGTAGATGGGGCCCTAGTTGCGCTTCAGTCCCCCAAATCAGCTCAATGTAGTTGCACTTCAGTCCTTTAGATCGTCTCAGTGTAGAGGGAGCCCTAGTGACCGCGTTGGATTCCCCCCAAAGCGTAGATGGGGCCTTAGTTGCACTTCAGACCCCCATAGCACCTCTCCAAAGGCAACAGCCAAAGTCCTGTGGAGGGGAAGAAGGGCTGGAAGAAGAGGAGGGATGGAGAGTCCCCGGGAGTCCGCCTCTCTCTCTCTCTCTGAGTGTGTGTCTGTGTCTCTCTCTCCACCGCTCCTTCCCTCCTTAAGGCTTGTCCGTGCACTGTTTGCAGAGGCTGGAGGAGACGCTGTTGAAGAGGGCGCACTTGTCGGGGCAGGCGGCGGAGGGCGGCAGTCCGGCGCTGAAGGGGTAGCCCGCGGCCGCCGCCTGCTCGTAGGCGCCCAGCGCCGGGTGCAAAGAGGCCGCCGCTGCCGCCGCTGCTGCCGCCGCTGCCGCAGCCGAGGAGGGCAAGGAGGAGGCGGCGGAGAGGGCCTGTCCCTGGTTGAGGTAGGCGACCAGGCGGCGCATCTCGTCCAGGGCCTGAGCCTGCATGAGGATGTAGTTCTTGGCCAGGAGCAGCGTGGCGATCTTGGAGAGCTTCCTCACGGAGGGGCTGTGCGCGTAGG